GTAATCTGTTGGCAGTGAGGTTGTTTTTTTTTTTTTTTAATAGGGTTTCCAAGGCTGTAATCTTTACTGAAACAGACTGCCACATCTTTCTTCTGCAGAGCAGCTAGTAGATTCAAACTGTAGACCTTTAGGTTAGCAGCTGAATGCTCAAATACTGCACCATCAGAGCTTCTTCATTCAATCCATAACACCCTTCAACCTTGATCTTACTCATTTTTTTTTTTTTTTGGTTTGCCTCAAATATCAAGAAATATTCCACAATCATTCCCATTGGAAAGAATTGCATCTTTCTTAGGTGTAATGGTATTCAAGGATTTTCTTCCCAAGCCGACAAGAAAGAGACTTCCCCTAGAGCTGATGCCCTGAATTTGGATTTATATTTAGCATATTTCATATTGCTTTATATTATAGTTAATGATTTAGCTTTCTCCCCAAGAAGACTGTACATTCCCTGAGGGCATAACCAGTATTTTATTCATTTTTGAGTCCCCCACAAGGCCTAGTGCCAGGCAATAAACATCAAGGAACACAGCAATTAATTGTTGTTGAAGTTCATGAGTTAAAAGTCTGGACAGAAACCATATTTCTATCCTTGAGTTGTCCTCAGAGCCATAAGATGCCTACAAGGAGAAGTAATAATTTAGGGCCCAAACTCATATTATGAAAATCTTGGTAGGGTAGGAAAAGAGAGAGGAAGGATGAGAGAAGAGAATCATGTAGGTACAGAGTGCTGTCAAGCAATCTTAGTCCTTCTTTGTCCATTTGACATCTAGATTAGTTTGTGCCATTGAGGCATTTTTCTTTATGTTATCTTGGTATTTATTAAGTGAAATCTCATGTTGGTGCAAATGGTTAATGCTCTCAGCTGCTAATCAGAAGGTTGGAGGTGCCTGGGAAGGCCTGGCGATCTACTTTTGAAAAATCAGCCATTGAAATCCCGATGGAACAAAGTTCTGCTGTGACAAACATGGGGTTCCTATGTGTCGTAATTGACTTGATGGCAAGTGGTAGGAAACTAGGTAGTATTAAGCAGCAATTAGTTATATAGGTCCTGGTGGCTCAGTGGTTAAACTTTTGTCTGCTTATTGAAAGGTCAGTGGTTAGATTCACTAGCCAGTTTCTCGGTGGGAGAAAGATGTGGCAGTCTACTTCCTTGGGAACTATGGGACAGGTCTACTCTGTCCTATAGGATTGCTATAGGTCAGAATAGCGCAATGGCAGCGGGTTTGTTTTTTTTTATATAGGTCTTAGTTTTAATAAATTGTTCTACTGATGTAGTTTGACCTGTTCAGTTATGCAAACACTGTAAGTGAGCAATATGAAGTCAAAGAATTGAATATGATGTTAGGTTGAAATGGATTAAAAATTATATAAAGGGATATGTAGTTATGTTTATATGTAGAGCATACTTATTTTTAGATTCTCAGATTAGATTTAGATGTGTGTGTTCTATTTTGTAAATCAAAGAATTGGCCTGTATTTTTATCGGTGTTTAGGTTTTATAGTGACAGATATAATAACTAGAAATAGAAATTCCATTTTTTTTTTGATAATGTAGTACAGGAACCTGAGAAGAGAAGGTCTTAAGGTGCTGTTAATTAGCAGAAATCCAAGCACATGGTCTCAAAGCAATTAAGGCTGTTAATTGAATATTTGGATGCACAGTGGAATGGCTCATATGTGCTAGACAGGGTATCCTGGGCTTGCATTTAGAAGTTACATTATACAAATGATGTTGAAAAAAATTAGTAAAGAACAAATATGGGTCAAAATATGTTTGTCTAGTAGTTAATTACATTTGTGAATGGTAATATATTGTTGGATATATACAGAGTTGTCTATTAACTTCACAATTCAATGTTTCAGCCTTCTTTTGCTGTAAATATGGCACAACACTTACAGAGAACTGTAAAGAATGGTTTATTGCCACAGTGGTTTTGCTGTCCTCTGGTTGGTAAACACCTCGACAGTTCATATGGTACTATAAATTCAATTGGTACTCACACAGTGGCTATGCATATTTTGGGGGCAGAGCAATGTGCTCAGGGTGGCAAAGTGATTTTATTATTGACTTTCTCCATGGCCTTGTACATTAGTTGCAGCAGGTGATTAATATATGAATAGAGTTCCAAAAAGAAACTTTAATAAACCTCAAGATTACAAAAAAGACTTCAGGAAAGGAAAGAGAAATAAAATGTTAGAAGTCAGTGGAAAGTTAATATTTTGGGTGATGCTTTTTTTTTTTTTTGATAGCTCTGGCTTTAGAACAAAGTCCTGGGTCATGCAAATGGTTTGCACTCAGCTATTAACCTATATGTTATCAGTTCAAACCCACTCAGCAGTATTACGGAAGAAAGACCTGGAGATCAGCTTCCATAAAAATTACAAACCACACGGAGTAGTTTTATATATTCTGCAATACATGGGGTGGCCATGAGTCAGGATCAACTCCACAGCAATGTGTTATTTATTATTATTATTATTTTTGTATAGCTTTAGGGCAGGCTTCTGCCTAAGCCAAGGTTAAGCTAAGGAAGGTGAAGAAAAGAAATGATGCCCACTAAAGAACACTCAGATGGCAGTGAGTGGGAGATGAATTCAGTTTCTCAAACTGGTTGCTTCCTCTGAATAGAGTAGCCAGCTTTCTGGTCTCTGTTATGGATAAAAAGAAATGACACGGATGGTTAAAATCCATAGATAATGCTCAAAGTTAAAATTAGCCAATACTTATCACCCATTTTGCCAAATCTTCTAGAAAGTGACAGAATTAGTTGATTTGAGTCTCCCTCCTCCCTATTTTTACCCACTTTCCTAAGAAATTTCTAATAGCCAGTGCAGTGGCTTTTTATAAAAAGTGGAGGTGCTGAGCAGGCAGTGAAGGACAGCACAGAACCTACAAATCCCCAAGCACAAGACTTGCGTCCTGAGGAACTTCTTGTTGTGTTATGTGCTGTCAAGTCGGACCTGACTCATAGCGCCGACCCCTTCTTGGGTTTCCAAGGCAGTATCACTACGGAAGTAGACTGCCCCATCTTCCTTCGGAGGAGCGGATGGTGGGTTTGAAATGCCAGCTTCTGGTTAGCAGTCAAATGCTTTAGGCACTATGCTACCAGAACTCCTAAGCATGCGTAAAACAACAACAAAAAACCAAACTCATTGCCGTGCAGTCGAATCCGACTCAGTGACCCCTCTGTGGATTTCTGAGGCAGTATCACTTTGGAAGTGGATTGCTGCGTCTTCCTTCTCAGGAGTGGCTGGTGGGTTTGAACCGCCAGCCTTCTGGTTAACAGTCAAATATGATATGATTTAGGAATGGGCTACTAAAACTAACAGACACTAGGTGCATGTGCAGAGCATATGAAAAACAAATTGTACTTAAGGCCCAGATCTGTACATATTATGCACATAACAAACAAACTCATTGCCCTGGAGTTGGATCCCTCCTTGGGTTTCTGAGGCAGTATCACTTCGGACGTAGATTGTCCAGACTTCCTTCACTACGACACATGTTGTTGTTGTTGTTATGTGCCGTGGAGTCGGACCCGACTCATAGCGACCCCTCCTTGGGTTTCCCATGCAGTATCACTACGGAAATAAATTGCCCCATCTTCTTTCCGAGGAGTGGCTGGTGGGTTTGAACCTCCAGCCTTCTGGTTAGCAGTCAAGTGCCTTAGGCACTACGCTACCAGAGCTCCCACTAAGGCCCATACTCTTAAAAAAAAACTAACCAACCAACCAACCAAACAAGCAAAACACTTGGTTGGGAATTATTGGCTAGGTCTTTTAAAACGCATTAGAACAAGAGACCAAAACATTCACTGCCCTGAGTGGATTCCGACTCATAGAGACCCTTTCGAACAGAGTAGAACTGACCCAAACAATTTCCAAGACTGTAAATCTTCACAGAAGCAGACTCCTTAATTTTTCTCCTGTGGAATGGCTGGAGGCATTCAACCATGGACCTTTTGGTTAGCAGCTGTAATCTTTAACCACAGCACCACCAGAGCGCCTTGGAACAGGGGACAAAAGCCATCAACACTGGATTGGAAGTAGTTATAAGAGGTAGCAATACGCTTTCTTTGGATCTGGACTGTCCCTGTTATGCAATGTGTGCATTTCATTATTTACTCGATTTCACCCGGCGACTGGGAGCTGTGTACACAGCAAGCTCGCCTTTAGCGGCACCCTAGACTCTGAAACTAAAACCAAACACCGTTTCTTTATTGCCCTTTTCTACTTAAGCCTTTGAAATATTTTTTTTTCCATTGGAAAAGTTTCCTAAATTGTATCTACTTCTCCAGATTAAACACTTTTTCTTATTTAAGAACTACATTTTTAAGAATTACAAGCTTCTTGGAAAATTTTCCTTACTCAAGTTTGCATTGTGCTGTAAGGTGGAGTTAAAATATAAATAAAATACTCTGTAATAAAGATTCTGAACCTGAAATCCTCTTTTATTTTGTTACAGTCTCCAACCCGGTTTTCTCATATCCCACCCGTGGCAATGTTTCTCCCTCTTCCCCCATCCTCTGCTTTATTCTTTCTTTTGATGATTCCTGAAACGCGAATGAACAATAATATGAGTAGAAAAGTCCTTGGCCTATGCCAGGCACCTGTAGGTGCTCAGTAAATGCTATTTATCTGCCCAGGGGTCCCCAGGGCTGAGCCCTGGTGACTAGCAGGGGTCTGAAGTCCAACACCGGAGGCTTGTGCGGAGCCCGTGTGGGACAGTGGGATAGGGTAGGAAGCAGTGGTGGTCCTGCTGTTTCCTACGGGTCTGCACCGTCGCCCCGAGGCCCATTTCCGGCAGTCCACCCTCAGGTCCCTGGGCGGTTGAGCAAAGGGGGCGGGTCTCCTCACGTCAGACACGCCCCAGCCGGGTGTATAAACCTCTGGGCGCGCGCTCCCGGAGCTGCCGCTGCTCCCTTCCCCCGCGGAGTGCGGGAGACGCTCTCCCTGCGCCCCGGTATCGCGTATCCCCGCCGGACCGCTGCCAGTCCGCGCCCGCTCGCCCTGCGCTCACACTCGCTTTCGCGCTCACACACCCTCCCGCACTCCGCCTCAAGTTTCCCCGCTCCCCCAGCGGAAACAGAGACGCTGCAAGCGAGAGCGCCGAGGGGACTCGCAGGGCTCCCATGGCTGACCTGAGCTTCATCGAAGATTCCGTCGCCTTCCCGGAGAAGGAGGAGGATGAGGAGGAAGAGGAGGAGGGTGTGGAGTGGGGCTATGAGGAAGGTAACCGGCGTGGATCGGGTGTTGGGGGTCCCTGAGGCTGCGCGGCGGTCGGTCTCCCCGTGAACCTGAGCTCTGAACTCTCTCTTGGGCGTCTCAAGAACCCCCTCGCCCCCTCTTTCCCACGTGCGTCTCTGTCGCTTCCCGATTCCCTGTTCTGCCTGGAAGGTGCTCCAGGTTGAGCGGGTGTCCAGTCGCCGCCCGCGTCTGCCGGTGGCCTGAGTTCGAGCTGGAGAGCTCCGTGCGGGGCTGGCTTTCCTTGGGGCAGCGGTTCACACCTACTGCCTTAAGGAAGGCGAGCCTTAAAGCCCAGGCTGTGATATTTCTCTTCCCAGACTAGCCAGTGCTCTGTCTCCTGAGTAGCTAAGAAAAGCAGTTACATTTTACTCAACATCTTGGTAACACAGTGCTAGTGCAACCATTTGTTTCTTGCTTGCTGAGAGAACTGAGTGAAGAAATTGTATTTGCCTCTAGTTTTCATGAAGGTTACTAACAACTCGCCACTCTTTGTAAAACGTGTCCTAAATTTCAAACCGGACCAGTGGGCTTAGCGAGACGAGGTTGACTTTTAAAAAATTTACTTCCCCAAGTTTATGCCTGAAGATGTAGGTGTTCTAATATAACTAACCATTGTTGTTGTTATGTGCCGTCCGACTCATAGCTACCCCTCCTTGGGTTTCCAAGGCAGTATCACTACGAATGTAGATTGCTTCACCTTCCTTCCTAGGAGTGGCTGGTGGATTTGAACGGCCAGCTTGCTGGTTAGCAGTCAAGTGCCTTAGGCACTATGCTACCAGAGCTCCTAACTAATGTATATTAGTTATGTACAAATGCAGTTATAAAAGGTATAGAAAGCGTTTCTATGTATATATTTTAATGTGCACATTTTAAAATATTCCTTTTTGCATTTATGAAAATAAAAGTTTATTTACTAACATGAGTTACGGCTTTTGGCTCTTCGCCCAGAGTGTTTAGCGTTAGGGTATTTCCCAAGTACTGAACATAATTGAACTAATGAGCAGAGCAAACTTTCATGGTATTATTTGTTTCTAATTATTTAAAAATGACTAACATTTCCTTGAGTCATAAATTATTACATCTGTGTGGACATATAAAAATAAGATATTTTGTTAATCTAGGATTTTGTATGTGATATTCGGTAATATTAGAGCATTTAAAATATTAATGCAAAAGTTCACACACCCTTATTATATTTCATCTGTATAGAGTTGGTAGTCATAACCTTTTTAGCGTCAAGGGACATTAACAGGATCACAGAATTTCTGTGTAGATTGGCAGATTTTATTTGGCAGTGTCCTAGTTTTTACCTGTTAAATTTTGCTGTAATTTATTTTGGGAGGTCTGGTGGCATCCTGACTAAGGGACTGCTAACCAGGAGGCTGGCGGTTCAAAGCCACCAGCCACTCCTCGGAAGGAAGGTTGGGCAATCTACTTCCTTAGTCATATCGCCTCAGAAACCCAAGGAGGGATCGCTATGAGTTGGATCCAATTCGTTGGCAGTGAATTTTTTTTTTTTTTTTAAATAACTTATTTTACTTTTAGCCTGTTCTTAATTTACTTAATTTTGCCCTTAGGTGTTGAGTGGGGCTTGGTGTTTCCTGATGCTAATGGAGAGTATCAGTCCCCTATTAACCTAAACTCAAGAGAAGCCAGATATGATCCCTCACTGCTGGATGTTCGCCTCTCTCCAAATTATGTAGTTTGCCGGGACTGTGAAGTCACTAATGATGGACATACCATTCAAGTGATCCTGAAGTCAAAATCAGGTATTTGGAAAGATATTCTTGCATACTCTACTAAAGCTACAAGTTGTGGTAGAGCTATTGAACTCTCATTTATCAGTTTATATGATCTCAAAGGTATAAGTAACACAGCTCTATTTTGTAGATAACCTTTATATATTATAAAAGTTGGGAGCTCAGGTGGCATAGTGCCTAAGGCATTTGAGTGCTAATCAAAAAGTTGGGGGTTCAAACCCACCAGCCACTCCTCTAAGGGAAGATTGGGCAATCTATTTCCGGAGAGATACTGGCTAGGAAACCCAAGGAGGGGTCGCTATGAGTCGAATTGACCCGACAGCAGTGAGTGTGGGCTTTTTTTTTTTGGTTCTACTACTTTGTAAAGCTAAAGTTTAGTAGTAGTGACATAATCTGGCTTCCAAGTTAAACCCTTCAAATTATTTTTTCCAACCATATTAATGTGACAAGGAGAATTTTAACAAATAGTAATCAGAACCATCTGGTAACTCAGCAAAAGATTTAAGTGGAAGAGCCCTTACTTTTATTATATTTTAAAAAAATCCCTCTCTGAATCTATTTGAGATGAATGTAGACTATTGCAAGGAAAATGTGCTGGGGAATTATTATGGAAATAAGTTGTTGGTTTAAATGTAAGGGAAAAGAAAGCAGAATTTTAAAATTACCATTAGTACAGTGCTTTTCATAATGAATAATAACTTTCCCTCTTGGAAGGAGTCCTGGGGGCACAGTGGTTAAGTGCTCGGCTGACTAAAAGTTCAGTGGTTTGAACCCACCAGCTGGTCTATGGGAGACAAAGCAGTCTGTTTGAGTAAAGATCACAGCCTAGGAAACCCTATGGGGCAGTTCTACTCTGTCCTATGAAGTCACCATGAGTTGGAATTAACTTGATGACAATAGATTTGGTTTTATATTTCCCTCTTGTAAAAACTGTAAAATTAGAGCATGTTGAAATGTTAAGAAGCACTTGGTAAAGAGACCAAATGTGGTGAAATTAATTTTGAATCAATAAAATTGATTTTTCAAACCATAAAGTCTTTAGGTTTATTATTAGACAGTACAGCTATTGATTCCCGATTATGGATTTTTCATTCATCATGAATGTTTCTAAGCCTTCATTTAGAAGCCATGAGCTAGTCATAGAGTCATGTAGTCTCCCCTACTGTTTAGTCATAGTATGGGTATTGCCCAAAACAGATTCTGGGGTTGATACTTGGTCAGAGGAGACCTCTTCAGATGTAAATTTAAACTTGAATTTGAGAATTGTTTTTGTTTTTATATATTTTTTTGTGTATATAGGTATATGATATCAACATATATGGATTATGTTAAAATATTTTTATATACATATATATAATATATATGTATCTATATACAGGAGCTCTGGGAGCGTAGTACCTAAGGCATTTGACTGCTAACCAGAAAGCTGGTGGTTCAAACCCACTGGCCACTTCTCAGAAGGAAGATGGGACAATCTACTTCCGTAGTGATACTGCCTCGGAAACCCAAGGAGGGGTCGCTATGAGTCGGGTCCAACTTGATGGCACATAACAAAAACAACATACATTATACATATAATATATAATGTACATATTATATATGTATCTACATATATATATTATATGTATTTACCTATATTTTATATATTTATATATATATATATATAAAATATATGTATTCATATAAAAATATTTTAACATAATCCATGTATATACTTTTCAACTTCTGGAAATAAATGTTTATATCCATACAACAAAATTGCATTTCATACTAGGCTCTATAGTGAGTGTTGATTATGTACAAATGGATAAGATAGTTCGAGGGTTCATAATCTAGTGAAAACAAGTCTTTTAATAATTATTCTGTCAATTTGTTGTCCCATAGTGGTTGCATTTTGCTGTGATACTAGAAACAGTGCCATCAGTTTTTCAAATACCAGCAGTGTCACTTATGGTAGATAGGTTTCAGTGAAGCTTCCAGACTAAGTCATACAGATAAGAGGCCTGTTGATCTGATTCTGAAAATTAGCCAGTAAAAACCCTATGGATCACAACAGAATATTGTCCTATAGAGTGCTGGAAGATGAGCCCCCTAACTTGGAAGGTACTCAAAGTACACAGTGGCTCCCAGAGTAGACTCAAGCATACCAATGATTATGAAGGTGGTACAGGACTGGGCGACATTTTGTTCTGTTGTACTTTGGGCTGCCATGAATTGGAGCTGATGTGACAGCAACCAACAAGGACATAATGAAGTATTATGGGAACACAGAAGAATCATTAAGTGAAAATACTGTCAAGTGAGACAGTATGTGTCCAATCCTGCTCTGTAATTAAATTTATTTAATCAAATTGAATTTTACATTTTCTTCTGGTACTTTTTCAAACTTTACAGTTTTCCTTAGCTCCTACCTTACCCGAAGATCAAGATCATCATCTTGCAAGGTCTTGACCCACTTACTGCAAAGCATATTTCTTCTCATCTAGTTTTTTTCCTCCCCTTTTTTCCATCCTCTACCCCTGACCACTGGAAAGAACCGTCTTTATTTCTTCTAGACCTAATTTGGATACACATGATCTGAATCCTATATTTCCTGCTTCCAGGACACCTTGCTCCTTCAAATGCCCCATCTCCTTTACGGCACTAGACTATTTCTTCATTGTTTCCTCCTTCTCAACATTTTTTCAAATTTAAAAAATGTAACAAAAATTACATTTTGACCAATTTATTTTTTGGGGAGAGTTAAGCTTTTCAAAGAGTAGTCTACAGACCTTAACACTTATCAGTCATTTATCTAATTAAAATTTATCTTTATTAAAATGGAATATAAACATGATTTAGGGAGTTGTATAGTGCTATACATGTTCCTGTCTCTGGTTATATCCTACCGTTCCCCACCTATAATTTCCGTTTCCTAGTGACAACCACTTTCACTCTTTTAGCTGTTTCTCTTGTTGTTACCTCTGTATTTCTTAATAATAGGCTGTCATTCTTTGATTTTCTACTATAATGGAAGATGAGGCTAGCTTTCCTGTTACTTGCTCATTCTCCAGTGTTGTTCCACTGTTGTCCCCATATATTTAAATTATAATTTTTACTTGAATTAATATTTAGTGTTTCATTATTATGATTGTGAATATTGTTTTCAGCTAAATTTCTATTTCCTTTTTTTGAACACTTTTTTTAAGTTAATAATTGCCATGTATTTCTTTTCTTTTCTTTTATTATGGTAAAATAGACATGATATGAAATTTATCATTTTAACCATTTTTGAGTGTACAATTCAGTGGCATTAAATACATTCATAATGTTGTTAACCATCGTCACTATCAATTTCCAAACCTTTTTTATCATCCCAAATAGAAACTCTACTAAATAAGCAATAACTTCTCATTCCCCCTACCCTCTGGCCCTGGTAACCACTAATCTACTCTCTGTCTCTATGCATTTGCCTACTCTAGATATTTCATATAAGTGTGCTAAAGGGACAGGTAGGTGGCATCTTCTGACCTTCTCTAACTTCACAGAATCACCATCAGCAGCCCAAGGCCTGTTCCTATGAGGCCAGACATGCCACCGTCCCCAGCCATTTTACCAACCTTGACACCAACTGTCCCTCCTGCGGCAGCCACCACCTCTCTGCTGGGTTCGATAATTCACTGCAGTGGCCACGCAGAACTCACAGATTATGGGGCTTATTAGGGAAACAACAGGTCACAATTCAAATTCAGGGACACGCTTAGGATACATTTCTTCACTTAGGACAATCACCCCTCTGCTGTGCCTTTAGGCATGCCTCTCTGTTCCTTGGCCTCTTGGCCTGGCCTCTGCCTCTGTGGGCCAGGTTAGCCTGCCACTCTGTCTTGTGCCTCTTGGTTCCCCTGTGACCATCTCTCAGCCGGGCTTCCCTCTCAGCCAGGCATCGCTCTCTCAGCCATGTGTCTCTCTCTGTCTCTCTCAGCAGCACATCTCCCTCAGTAGTGTGCATTTCTCCAGTAGTCAGATTCCTTCTGCTTCTAGGAGGGCTCATTTTCATCCTGGCAGAATGGCAAAACCAACCAATCTCTACATCAGGGTTCTACACACTTGAGAGAGAGTGAACTTTCCCAGAAGATTACTTTGTGCTGCTCCAATAGAAATATCCCAAGTGGATGACTTTAACAGTCAAGACTTTAAATTACATGGTCCCAACCAGTAATCCAATGGGAGTTACAAAGACTATGGCTAGAAAAGCCAAACTAAAAAAACCAAACTCACTTCCCTGAAGTTGGATCCGACTCATAGCGACCACTTCTTGGGTTTCTGAGGTGATATCACTATGGAAGTGGATTGCCCAATTTTCCTTCTGAGGAGTGGCTGGTGGATTTGAACAGAAAAGCCGTACCATGTAATTTACTACACCGCAGGCCACCTACTGGTATTTCTAGCCATTATCCCTTTTATACTTCAAAAATTCACATCCCCTTCACCATCAGTTTAAGAATAGCCACACCCATGAAAGTGTGTAAGCCAGCCACTTCATGCCTTTATCTCCCCCCATTTTATATAGCCAATTTCTAGGAGCTCTGGTAGCATAGTGCCTAAGGCATTTGACTGCTAACCAGAAGGCTGGCGATTCAAACCACCAGCCACTCTTCAGAAGGAAGACTGGGCAATCTACTTCTGTAGAGATACCGCCTTGGAAACCCAAGGAGGGATCACTATGAGTTGGAATTAACTCGATGGCAGTGAGTTTGTTTTTTTTAATCAAACCAGTACTCAGAGGAGACAAACATGTTCTTTTCTCTCTGGAGAATCTTCTGTTTTGCTTGGAAACTTTGGGCATCTGCATCCATAAATAAGCAAAGTCCAGACCAGCACAAGCCATCAAATTATAGCAACTTAATGCCAGAAGGTTGGGCAATCTACTTCCGTAGTGACACTGCCTCGGAAACCCAAGGAGGGGTCGCTATGAGTCGGATCCGACTCGACGGCACATAACAACAACAACAACAACAATGCCAGCTCAG